TGTTCCACATACTTTATTCTCTATATTTTCTATTATCTAAAGTGATCTCGACTTTTTTGGAAAATTCCCTATGATTTTTCCTAGTTGCCAGTAAACTATCCGGTTTTGGTCTTGCGTGTAATATCTCTACTATGCAGCACGTGACACATGTTTTTTCTATGGATAATTGATTAATTAATTAATGATTATCTGTGAATTGTTGATTATTAAAAAATAGTAATTATTAATAATTTAATTCGGCTTGACGTAAGGCGACGAGGCTATGCAAAAAAATATTGAACTGAAAAACTTGTTAAATATCACTCTTTTTGTATAAATATATACATCTCTATGTTTTTATGTTAATAAGCCTTATTCCGCCCAAATAAGTTAATTGGTCTAGCTTAACTAATATCCTGGTTTCTGATAGGTAAATTTTTGTAGAGAAAATTTATAATCCGTACTGCTTTGTTTATTAATAATATTAGTTACGGTGGTGAATAAAAAAATATGTTGAAATATTTTATATTAAATAAATATTGTATAGATAAATAATATATATCTTATCCGTGATGAGGCTATGCAAAGTTGATTTTTTGTTTTGCATTACATACAAAACAAAAAATCAACTTTGCGTAGCCTAGCAAGTATTCGAAAAATTTCTTAAATTTTATTCTTGTTACTTTATAATTGTGCAAGGCTTGATTGACACTGCTTTTCTAATTAATATTAACACTATTTGTTTTTAGACCAAGTCCTCTCTACGCCTTAAAAATATAATTTGCCTCGTTTAGTCGCGTGATATAAACCAATATCAAAACATATTAATCGTTAGTTTTTATTTTTTGAAAAAAAATTTAATAAATATTTCGAATTTTTTTTTTTTTTCTAAAAAAAAATTTACTGAATAAATAAATGTCTGGTACTATTACGGTCCTGTATTATGTTACTGACTATCAAACAAATAACGCTAAAATTCTTCAAATTGTTGATGCTTCGGGTCTTATAAATTCTCGAAGTCTAAATATTCCTCAGAAAGTCTTTTTAAAAGCCTTCTATCTGCAAGATGCTTCCTGTGAATTTGGCCTTATCACATTCGAGAAAGATGATGTAATTCTTGCAACTGGCAAATTTTGTGTCATTGAGTATGTTAATGAAGATGATGAGAAATTACCAGCCTTAAAGGTAATTTTATAAAATAAAATAAAAAACTTGTATATAATTTTTCCTCAAATATTTTATTATAAAAAATTAGTATGGTAATTTATTATATCTTTAAATATCTTTAAAATGTTCTAATTTTCGTTCTAGAAAAGCAGATTCAATTCTGTAACTTGCAGACATTTTTAAATTTATTTTAACAATATAGTTAAAAGATCAAATATTTTTTTTTAGTCGTGAATTTTAATATTAAAATATTCACGATTTAATAAGTTTATACTATAGAGGCCCGAAATATTTACATATAATTCTTAAA